TGCGAACGTTGAAGGCAGCCAGTTTGAATGGCGTACGTGGTTTCAGAAAAACTGCTTCAGTACTCATATTCGATGGTAACATACAACTTTCAACCGGACAGTGACTGGAGAACGTTTAGATACAGTCGGATTTCCACCAAAGCCGAGCCGCTGTATAAGTATGAATGAGGGTGAATAATGTGGAAAATAATAATAATAATGATAATAATAACAATAATGACAATAATAGTAGTAATAATAATATTAGTATTAATAATGACAATAATTGTAATGATAATAATCTGAATCAATTGTTTGTTTTTCAAAGCGAGAAAGGTAATTTCCATAGGCATAAAGAGTTCATCAATTTGTGTGTGGGCTGTGATACTGCCCGGGTGCCCAAACCGAAAGCAGGTGGTTATCTTAGGGGGCCTTTGACCTAAAGGTCTAACCCACAAGGCAGTGGAGCATCGTAAGGAGATGCAGTACCATGGTAGCCGGTGACCAACGATTGGTTCATACGCCATTTGTTCCCGCAGGATACTGGAGCCCATGTGCACCATTGATTTGGAATCCGGTTAAAGCGCCGGACATTCGCTTTTCGTCCTCTCATTTTCGTAAACAACACCCCCGCCACGAGAAGGCAATGAGTAGGACTTCCCTGGCAGAGGCTGTATACGCGTGGCCGTGTGAGAGTATTTCGAGAGGGAGAGCGGACTCTCCCCACTCTCGGCCGTAGCAGGGCATTCAGGGGGCGTTACTTACTCGATGGTCCCAGGATATACGAGCAATGTTTCGAAGACACCTATGATCAAATACTAGTAACCTACGGATATCCTCTACTCTTACCGGCCATGTTTCACAGCCATAAAGTAGAACGGAACGAACTGCTGCGCAGTAAGCCTTTCCTTTGGTTGATAGACGGATATTTTGCCTACACCATAAATGACGGAAGTTGGTAAAAGCTAGTCGAGCCTTCTGTATCCGTTCTGAGACTTCGTCACACACCAGACCACAAGGGCTGATGAGACTTTCCAGATAAGTTAAGCGGTCGACACGCTCAACTACACTCCCTATCATTAGTTCGGGTGTCGATGCAACCGAATCCTGAAGCATCATTTTGCATTTCGAGGGGGAGAATCTCATGCCGAACATGCTTGCATTGTTGCTTAGAGTGGTCAGAAGACTCTGCATTTTGTCAGCGTCTTCACCAAATAGAACTATGTCATCGGCATATTCTAAGTCAACAAGTGAATCTCCCGGTAGAAGTTCAACCCTTGGAAATCTAGATGACGAAAGTGTTATCTCTAAAAGTACGTCGACGACAAAGTTAAACAAGAATGGAGAGAGTAGACAGTCCTGACGAACACCACTTGAGGTAATCAATTTTGATGACAGTTCGCCATAAGCTCTCACTCGACCTGTTGTGTTCGAGTAGAGAGCCTTTATAAGGTTAATGTACTTCTTTGGTATTCCTTTCAGTGACAAACACTGCCATAGAACCTTACGATCGACAGAGTCGAATGCTGCTTTAAGGTCGAGAAATACTACGATTATGGGGCGTCTGGATGTGTGTCTATGCTATAGGACCTGACGTAGTGTGAATATGTGGTCTATATAACCACGTCCAAGTCGAAAACCGGCCTGGTTTTCTCTAGTCTGCCCTAAGAGGTTTCCTTGCAGCATCTTTTCTACTTCTAGCAAGACGCAGTCAAATATGCGCTCGCACTAGAGCATGATCTGAATCTAAGCATGTGCTCCAAAACGAGTGACAGCCTTATATCGAGCCCCTTCATCGGTGGCTGTTAGCGATGTTGGGTCCAGCTTTGGAAAGAATTCGAGGTCACCATGTTAAAAGATGGTTTTGCTTATGCTTAAAGTTAGTATTTGCAAGAAACAGGCGGTTGTCTGAGCATAGCTGCAACAGACGGTCGCCATTATCTGTTCCATGAGCCACGACATCATAAGATTCACCTAGGTGTCTTTCCCTTTCGCTCAGTTTATCCGCTTGAGCATTAAAGTCACCAGCCATTATTACTACATCAGAGCGCCTAACTTTTTGGAAAAGGTCGGGAAGCCTTCTGTAAAACTCATCTTTTACATCATCTGCGCTGCAGTCAGTGGGAGAATAGGCAGAGACGACGAAGAGGCAACGACGAGTGTCTCTATGTTTCCGAGTCCTTACTGTTCCGTTTAGTCGGACAGCACACAAACGACTGTCTACTGGGATCCAGTCTAAGAGAGCTAGTTCTGCCCTAGGACTCAATCCTATACCTATAGCGGCGAGGCCACGAGAAGCAACATCTGGGCTTCCAGATACACGAAGTGAGAATCGAGTTGGTTCTTTATGTTGACATGGTGATGTCAAATGAATGACGCTACTCGGATCCTGTATGCGCGTTTCGGAGACGCAGCACATATCGATGGCGCGGTACTCTAAAGTCCTAGCTAAGGAAGCTTGCTGTCCTATTTGACGCAGCGTTCGTACGTTATAAGCTCCAACATGAAGTTTAGAGTGTGGTCTCAGGAGACCAGGAATAACGTTCCGCGTACTCGAATCGTTTGCCCTAGCGGTGTGAGCTGATAAAAGGACGTGAGACGGGTTAGTTGGGGAGATAAGAGTGGTATTAGGAGGTGTAGGAAGGATTTGAATGTGACCAACTTGGTCTCGTGCGCTGTTACGGGTATGAGGGCTGGTGTCACTTCCCAGCTGCCCACACTGTGGAAGGGTATTTCTTGAGGAACCTGAAAAAGAAGTCGAATTAATGTCGGCCTTAACGACCTGGGAGCGTGACCACAGAGCCCAGGGGACAACTGCTTGAGGCCGGTCGCGCACGGCCTTTTCATGGAAGGTTTCTAATGTGTTAGCTCCGTTCTTCAAAGGGCCTTACCGCCGGAGACGGAAATCCGTGGGGTAAGGTGAGGTGTGACATTTTTAGGGTCAATCTTTTCTAACCCCTTCTTTCCTTGTGGGAAGGCAGCATCGCTGCAGATGCTGGTTTTCCGAGGGGAACACCTTACTGTTGTCACACCCCTCTACAGTCAGCGGCACAACTTTGTCCCTCAGACCTTGAGTTGCTGCTTTTAGTCTTACTGTTCTCCAATCGACCCGCCTGGCATGGTAGAACCTACAGGAACATATGTTCCAACCAATATAGCTCGGTTGGGTCATCACGATAGGCAAGCCCGACCACCGCGTCAAGGTAGCAGCTACGGTCGGGTGATCTACCAGGGGATTTACTTTTTGGCCTAGAATACGCAGATTATACAGTTTTGTTTGGTGAAGACGCTGACAAAGTGCAAGCTCATCTGAGCACCTTATTTAACAATCCAAGCAAGTCAGTCTTCTACAACGTAGGACCAGGCATATATATGTATCGGTCCGTTGTCATACCTTGTTAGCACAACACGATGAGCATCAAAATCATACTCCTATGATAGTAATATATAGAAAAAGATTACATATAAGGATAATGATACCTGGACAAAGGGTGGGGAGTCAGCTCTCCCATGGCCAGGTACTGCCAGGGAAGTCCAACTCACTGCCATCTCGCGGCGGTGTTGTTTACGAAATTGAGAGGACGGAAAGCGAATGTCCTGCGCTTTAATCGTGCTGGTGGACACGGAGGATCCACCTCGGGGAGTTGGGAAACCCTCGTCCCAAACCAATGGTGTTCATGGACTCCAAGATCCCGAAGGAACAAATGACGTATGAACCAATTGTTGGCCACCGGCCACCATGAGACTGCATCTCCGGACGTTGCTCCACTGCTTTTTGGATCAGACCTTTAAGTCGAAGGCTCTGGGTGTGGCCCCTAGAAAAAACCACCTGCCTCGGTTTGGGCACCGGGGTAGTATCACAGCCTACACCCAATTCGAGTGACTTGTGTAGCGCATGTGTATTCGGCGCCCCTTTGTACCAATATTTATGTGTTCAAATAAATAATTAGTTCGTAGAAAGAAATGTATAAATAATTTTAATCTCACAGTTTAAGGGAAGACGAAGAGTGTATGCACCTGTATCACTGTGATTGATTCTGAGCCATGCCACCCAGAGCCTCCAACCGCTGGTTACGATAGTCGCCCGGACCACACCCAAGTTGCTTGCATCCACCAATATGGCTCAGACAGAAGTTAGTAACTTTATAGATGATCAAAAATGTATTTTGACTGGTCTTTGTCGGCACACATGTAAGTGACAATCTTGACTCAGTACCTTAGTGCATAACATATTAGCGTCTGAAACAAAGGACACTGGGTTCAAGTCCCAAAATAATCAACATTGAGATGAGAATCGGTGCAGCTGACAGGTCCTAGATAAGACGAAACGTGCTTCCAGGACTGTTGGTACACACGATTTATTCTTTAAAATTAGTAAGGTTACAAGAAAGTACGATTAAGACGGGAATTTTTAGAAACCTGGGCACCTAACTGCCGATCAAGCAATATTGAAAAAATCTTAAAACTCAACCACGTTATTGATTTCTTTTTAATTTAAAAGTTTGCTAATGGTCACATTTAAAATCTGTGGTAAAAGCTTACTGATAAAAATGATATGCAACGTGTCTCAGTATTTGAGGCATAGCCCAACTTTACAAAAGAAACGCTTTTGAAAAATATGAGGATATTTGTTTCAAAAGAACGAAAAAGATTATATTCAGAGTAAATGATGTTTTATAAAATCCCCCACATTTTGGGCTGTAACAAAATCTAAAGGGAGTTAAAAGTCAAATTCGTTTTGTAAACGTAAGTTGTAAAAAATCTGAACAGGTTTCATACTTAATCAAAAAGTATACACGACACGATACCATATGCAAGATAAAAGGGATGAAATATGAAGTTCTTACGATGCTTTTGCAAACCATGTATGCAAGATTCTATGTGAACACTGGTGGAAATATCTGTCATATAAATAAAAGATTTTCATAAAACAAGGAGGGTCTGAATTTTGATATTTAATTGAAAGACGTAGGTATCAATAAGCAGTACGAGATTAATATGAAGGACAATTGCATTTAATCTCAGATAGATGCTGAGCTACTGTGAGAAGAATTCAAATTTGATTGTGAAAGAAATTTAGCAAAGTTCTCTTCAGTCTGCTTGGATATACTAATGCCACGAAACCCTAACTTTTTCGCAAGCCTTTGACGCCTGATAACACGTTTACGTGTAGCTGACAACACAAGTTCTGGGTCTAGAGGAGCAATACCAGCAGCTGTAGGGGCACAAGCTTCCTCAAGAGTTTGGCCTGTAAATATTTGTCGTCTTATTGGTGAAAGTTCGGTCTTTTTGTACGATCTAGGACGTCGCTGACTCCGTTTAACAGAATCTTCAACTACTGTGGCTAACCCTCTGTGCTTAGGGGGAATATATCTTTTAGAGAGGTAAAAATCTGAAACAAATGCAGGAATAAATGAAGAACTTGGACGAGATAATTTAGTATTTTCTGACTTGTTTGGTGATGAAATTGACAGATTACCAAATGAAATAGTATTGATAGAACTAACATCCATGTGTGGTAGGTCATTTTTCATTTGAACAGTTAGTTGAGTAGGATTAGTGGATGTACTATCATGCGAATTTAACTAAAAATAAAATATTTCAAGTTAAGCAATAAATCACGAATCGGTTACATAAGAAGTAATTGGAGTAAAGAATGAACATTAACAGATAAATTTGGTTGGTACCTTATAAAGTTCTGAACACCCACTGTACTAAAAAATGAATGAAAAATATCAGGAACTAACTTAACCCAACATGAGACGAATCACTTCGGCCAACAGAACAGAATAAATATAAGGAGACAAGGTAATCATAGAAATTTGAAAATTTCAACATGCATTGATCAGCCAAAATAGATAAATGGAGACTGCATTCACACAAAAGTAAGCATTAACAATATTTACAATGGCATAGTAATTGGGACTTTTGATTTGACTGGAAATTGGTTTGGTCCATTATATTTTGCACTGTTAGTGGGGTTCCAAGTCCTAGTTTTAAAGGGTAAATATCGTTTTATTTTTACTTCAACAAACATTTTTTGATACTACACCGATGTTGTAAGTGAAACAAATTCAGAGCGAGAAATTATCACAACCAGCTTGGTGAGTCTATTTTCTATTACGACTTTAACGTCAAAATGCTGTAAACTAAGACAAAAATCAAAACTCGATGACTACGAACAAATTTGTGTAATCAACTGGCCCCTGAACTAAAATCTTGTGGGATAGTTAGAGATACATGTAGCTACCCAAGCCAAAGTGAGCAGATGTTTGAACGTATTATCAATGACCTTTGTTAGCGGGACATAGACTAGATTAAAGCATGCTCAATGCATGATTGTTTTGGTGCACGCTGATTGGCTGATTCTTATCCAATCAGCACTAGTCGATAGTCGGAGAATATTCTGGAATCTTCTTATGTAAAAACCATAAATATACCGACGTTTTCCCCTATTGTGCTTCTGACTTGCTATTTGGAATATAATCTTTTCCTGTTCAACCGTGTTCTGATTTGGGGACTTGTCGAGTGAATCGGTGTCCGAGAATACTAAGCAATAGGAATAGCTGGGTCATTAACCGTAAGAAGGAAGAAATTATAACAGTGGCGACGGGGAAAAACTAAAGAAAACAGAATTATAACAGTGGTGACGGGGAAAAACTAAAGAAAAATGGCGATTTCTTTAGAACAGTTGCGGTTAATATTACAGCACCAGCAGAAGTTGTTAGCCTTGCAACAACAACTATTGAACACACTCTTCACTCGACCAGAAAATAAGAAATCTGTTTATGATGCAGTAACAGACATTTCAGAAGCATATCTAGTGGAGGGTTCAAATCCCTTTATACCTGAATCAGAACGTAATATTTGTAACGTTTCCGGCTCACAGCAAGAAAATCCTGTGCTGAATGCTCATAAAGTTGTGGCAATACGAGATTATCAAGAGTCAGACCCTGTAGATGAAGCCCGGAGTCCAGAATTGAATGAAGCACTACTGGTCCTGTCTAGCTCTGAAAATAACTTTCAGCTAGAACAAATTTATGGTCCACGTGATATTAACCAAGAAAGCTATGGGGACTCGTATTCAGAAAATAACTGCAGTGACACAACGAACCCAATTATACCGAATGTTACTCAAAATCATTGTGAGACAGAAACTTATATTGAATCAGCTTATCCGATTTCTAATGACAATGTATCAGACATGGGTTCTCAGAACAGTCCATGTTATTTTGATGAAATTTCTCATAAAAATCAGGAAAATATATCAGCTGAGTCAAATTATGGTCAAAATTCTAATTTAATTTTGTTAGATGATGATTTCCGTAATGATCCATTATCCACTGATGAAATTCCTAATGGATTTGAAAGTAATGCTTCAGAAGAATTAAACTTTGACCTCAAATCAAAGGTCGTTCATTATCATCTAGTCGTTTCTAGTGGATCCGACATTCAATGCGAGAAACGTCGTTTAAATAAAGTCCTATTATTTGTAACTTGGAGATATAAGGATCCGACATTGTTTCGCGGAGGAGGAGAATGTTGAAGAATTAAAAGTTATGCATACTTTTTTTAAGAAAAATCAAAACGCCGGGAACAGACATGTCAGTCTCTGTGCAAGGAAAAAGTGATAATTCTTCATTGCCTAGACGATGGACTAATCGAAAGCACAAGCCAGTCACTCAGTCGCAGTTGGACCCTAGCACCAGATCCTACGAATCTGCTCAGAGGGGAGGTGTTAGCGGGACATAGACTAGATTAAAGCATGCTCAATGCATGATTGTTTTGGTGCACGCTGATTGGCTGATTCTTATCCAATCAGCACTAGTCGATAGTCGGAGAATATTCTGGAATCTTCTTATGTAAAAACCATAAATATACCGACGTTTTCCCCTATTGTGCTTCTGACTTGCTATTTGGAATATAATCTTTTCCTGTTCAACCGTGTTCTGATTTGGGGACTTGTCGAGTGAATCGGTGTCCGAGAATACTAAGCAATAGGAATAGCTGGGTCATTAACCGTAAGAAGGAAGAGATTATAACAACCTTACACTCGAATTTCACAATAGTAAGCTACCTCTTCATCACTGCTACAAGCATATTCACATTCAATTCACGGTGTTCAAAATACAGCCAATCAGAAGAGTGATTGTTGGACAACATTTAGTAATATTTCAAAAGAAGTATTTTAAACCGCTGAAATGGAAGGAACAGGACGGATCATGTGGTAGGAAAATTGAAGATAGGATCTGTTAGTGGGACATAGACTGGATTAAAGCATGCTCAATGCACGATTGGTTTGCTGCACGCTGATTGGCTAATTCTTATCCAATCAGCACTAGTCGATAGTTGGAGAATACTCTCGAATCTTCTCATGTAAAAACTATGAATATACTAACGTTTTCTCTATTGTGCATCTTACTTCCATCTAACCTTGTTATTTGGAATATAATCTCTTTCCTGTTCAACCGTGTTCTGATTTGGGGAGCCGTCGAGTGAATCAGTGTCCGAGAATACTAAGTAATAGGAATAGCTGGGTCATAACCGTAAGAAAGAGATTATAACAGGATCATATTCAACCTATGAGTCGAAAATGAGTGATGCTTAACAAGACATGTATAACAGCAAAGTAATATGCTGGAATGTTAAAAACACTTACTTGCTTTAATGGGCATCTCAATGACTTTCTTCGAGGTGCTCTGGATGGTTTTGAAGGCTCTTTACTTTCTGACTTTGATAGACATATAGAATCACGACGAAGTCTTTTTGACTTTCTGATATTCTGATCAGCATCGAGATCCATAGGTGGAGATTCAATAATGTTTTTTAGATCCAAAAATTCTACATTGGATCTTCGACGTTTCGGATTACTAGATCAAAATGGTAGGTAAGAGGGTAGGTTAAGTACTATGAAAGGCATTTAGATATTTGTTGTATGCATTTAAACCTTGAAAATAAAGAAAGTCCGTTAACAAGAGGTGAAGTCAGGATAAGACATGGCCTTAGATAAGGTGGTATGGACTTATCCGTAGGTACTTGGGAGTCAAAAACTCTACGTAATTTGGCCCAAATGCATTCATTGATTGTTTACCTTCACATCTTTAGTTCTAATATTAGCAAATACCCATTACTTTCTGCTGTCACTCGTTATTGTACATTACATTTCTTAAAATTTGGTTCCCACTAATGTTTATGTTACGATTTCGAATCATGAGTTAAACGTCATTGACATCTTCGTGACATCCTGATGTAAATTTTCATTCTCGGCTTCAATTTAAAACCCACCATACTTCAGACTAAAGAGGAAGTGGAAGCTAACGAGATAAACATGAATATGTGCGGACTAGGAGAGTCAGTGCAGAATAACGTTACAACTAAAGTTTAATTCAAAGACGTAAAATACTTCATTAGAGTATGATCTAGCCAATCACCAAGCTTACAACTAGTTACGACCTCATTTTCAATTGTATCTGTTAGCACTTTTGGTCCTAACAATCTACAGTTCTTCACTTTTTGGTCATTGATTATTTTTTGCTTCTGAGTATCATCGCATCTCGTTCCCCTTTGAAAAGGACTCCTTTTAAATGACCGGACAGTGTTTATTTATTATTTATTTGAACACATGAGTATTGGTACTGGAGTGCACCAAATATATATGCGCCACACAAAACAGTGAGAATTTAAGAAGAAAAAAAATGAGGAGCGTAAATAAAAAATTACAAAAAAAAAACATTAATGAAGAGATTGATGTAAGGGAGTGTAGTAACAATAATAGTCATAATGGGGGAACGGAAAGGTACAATCAGAACAAATATTTCAGGTAAGGAAGAAACAACCACTTTTTATGAAGAAAGTAAAAGAAGGTTACAGCAGGATCGCCACTGGCTTCTATTCTGAGCCATATCTGATAACGTCTCTAGCCACTGTGTAGCACCATCTCTCGGACCCCAACCAGGGAGTCGTGAAGGTCCAACACAAGCCAGTCCTTTGCAGCTTTCTTTCATACCACGACACCATGTCATGCACTGACCATCTCTCCGCTTCTTCCAACCAGTCCCAGAGTCGGCAAATAATGCACGACGTGGAATTCTCTGGGACGATATTCGGAGAACATGTCCAAGCCACCGAAGTCGGTGTTTCAAGATGGTGACACCAATTGAATTATCATCTCTGTGCCCGAACACACGATGCCGAACCTCTGCATTACTGACATGATGTTGCCACTGCATGTCAGCAATCCTTCGGAGACAGCGATGATCGAACACAGAGAGTCGTCTAACGTCCTCAACTCGGAGAGGCCAGGTTTCACAAGCATAGAGCAAAACTGCTCTCACCGACGCGTTGTAGATCCGACCTTTTACAGCCAGACTAACATCACGAAGGCGCCATAGATGGCCCAGATTGGCATAAGCCGCTATGGCTTTCACTATTCGTGCATTGATCTCATCACTCACACCCCCACCAGCACTTATGCAGCTACCCAGATACACGAACTTCTCGACTACTTCTATTTGCTCACCATCCAGGGTGAGTACAGGATTGGAATCCTGCCAGTCTTGTAGAAGTACTTTGCACTTCGAAGGTGCAAAGCACATACCGTATCTACGGACACTGGTTGCCAACTGATTAAGTGCGGATTGCATGCCTTGGGCATTATTGCACAGTAAGACAATATAACCCGCATACTCAAGGTCGAGAAGTCTTTCTCCAGGCAACAGATCCACACCACCATTACTTACATTTGTTTGTGGACTATGATACTGCCCGGGTGCCCAAACCGAAGCAGGTGGTTTTCTTAGGGGCCACTGCTCGAGCCTTTGACCTAATGGTCTAACCCACAAGGCAGTGGAGCATCGTAAGGAGATGCAATCACATGGTAGCCGGTGACCAACGATTGGTTCATACGCCATTTGTTCCCGCAGGATACTGGAGCCCATGTGCACCATTGGTTTGTGATCCGGTTAAAGCGCCGGACATTCGCTTTTTGTCCTCTCATTTTCGTAAACAACACCCCCCTCGCCACGAGAAGGCAGTGAGTTGGACTTCCCTGGCAGAGGCTGCATACGCGTGGCCATATAATTGTCAGTCACGAGCACGCGTCAGCCCAATCCAGACCTAACTTTTGGAAAGCAAATATACCAGATAACATGCACTCAGCATCGTTAGTAGATTTGACAATAGACCCAGAGTCCTCAGTTGAAACGGCCTGGGACCCATTTCGAAATTCACACTTAAAAGTTACCACACCCCACATCCCTTGGACTATACCAAGGGGGCCGAGAAACTCCCCACCATGGTTCGGTAGGGAGGTTCGCATTCTTCTTCGTAAGAGAAGAAAAATGTGGGATAGATTTAGGTTACTGGGGACTGATGAGTCAAAATCTCAGTATCGAAAGGCTCGGAATACTTGTGCCTCGACCCTCCGTAAGTCTAGAAAATTGTACGAAGGAAAACTTGTTAAGGAATCCATAGAATATCCTAAACGCCTGTATTCCTATATAAACCAAAGGACAAAGAGAAGAGGAAATATTCCTGCTCTATGGGGAGACAGTACTGCTTCATCATTAGTGGAGGACGACTTTGGTAAGGCTCAAGTGTTCTCAAACTACTTTAGCAACGTATATACCATAGAAGCGCCCTTCACGTCAGCGTATACAGATCCCCCATACATACACTGGATAGCGTGACCATTAAATAACTCGATGTCTTTGGTCTGCTAAATAAGCTTGACATAAGTAAATCCACGGGGCCTGATGAATTACATCCTAGGCTACTGAAGGAATTATCTAACTTCGTTGCAAGCCCTTTAAGTACATGCTTTAACCTATCCGTTACGCAGGGTCGTTTACCAAAAGACTGGAAAAACGCCATAGTAAGTCCTGTCTTCAAAACAGGTACGAAACACAAACCTGAAAACTACCGCCGCGTTAGCCTAACTAGTGTGAGTACTGCATACAAGCGGCCAGCCCCTGCTTAAAAAAAGACAGTGAGCTTCTGGAAAAGGTTCAGTGAACGGCAACTAACCTGATTCCCGGAATAGCGAAGCTTCCGTATGAAGCTCGACTGGCCAAGCTGAACCTTTTCCCGTTGTCATATCGCAGAACTAAAGGCGACTTGATTACAGTTTTCAAATTGCTTAGTGCCAAACTTGCACCTGATATGCCCTGATTTTTCTTGTCTTCCAAAACAGAGAATTTACGAGAACACTCCAAAAAAGTTCACAAGCCAAGAACAAATTACTTGTCAACTGACTATCGACTTTCCCATTGAATCATCAACTAGTGGAACTCATTACCTCAGCACGTGGTTGAGGCTCCATCCGTCGATTCTTTCAAAAGAAAGTTGGATCAACTGAGGGACCACCGTTGCCAGGACTAACACAGGTCATCAAGCCTCCTGTCCTTCCCAAACTGAAACTGAATTTTGGAGAAATCCCCAAAATCTGTGTTGCGTAGTTCTCCAGTCTTCAGTCTTCAGTAATAAGGATAGGAGGTCTGTCGACCTATATTAATCCTTGCAGTTTGTAATACTATGGAGGTCCAATCTCGTTTTGAATATATTAACAGATGGTGCTGATATTACGTGTTCCGGTAGAGAATTCCAGTAATTCACTACTCGGTGCGAGAAACGGAATTCCAAACGTAAACGGTTTGATCTCGGTTTTTGAACTTTCTTCGAATGTCCTCTCAAATGATCAATCCTAGATGGAAGCAAAAGATAAGACATATTAATACCAAGGTCATCGTTCAGTATACGATAGGCCAATATTAGATCACCCCTTATTCTACGGTAAGATAACGGAAATAAGTTAAGGTGTCTCAGTCTGTCTTCATAAGATAGGCCAGATAGACCTTGTACCATCTTGGTAGCTCGTCGTTGGACTCTTTCTAGCATATCTGCTTCATATTTGAAACAAGGACACGCTGCTTGAATCCCGTATTCTAAATGTGGTCGCACATAAATCGGGTATAGTAATCTAAACATTTCATCATCTAAATACTGGAAAGACCTACGAATTGACCATAATACCCTATAGCCTTTTGCAGCAGCAGCCGTACAGTGACTAGTCGTTTTGAGATCATTGCTTAATATGACTCCTAAATCTTTATAGTTTCTTACTTTGGGTAGCACGAATCCACGTAGTGTATAGTCATACGATTCATCAGAGTTATTTAACTGCATCACTACACTCTTATTAGGATTAACTTCTAGTGACCACCTATCTAACCATGCCACCAATGAGTTAAGATCGTCCTGTAATACTATCCTATCCGACATGCTATGTATGGGTCTCCAAATCTTTATGTCATCAGCGAAGAGTAGAACGGATGATTTTGCTACAGTTGGCAATTCATTTACATAAAGTAAAAAGAGAAGAGGACCCAGGATTGTACCTTGGGGAACCCCGCTTTTTACAGGTACCCACGAGGAGAGAGCCCCATTAACCCTTACCCTTTGTCTCCTGTCATGGAGAAAGTTACTTATCCAATCGACGATTGTATAATGGATTCCAAAACGTTTCAGTTTGAATTTAAGACCAGAGTGGGAAACCTTATCAAAGGCTTTACTTAGATCTATGAAAATCACATCCACAGGAGCATTCCGATCCTTTGCCGCAGCCCAATCTTCTCGTGCAATGAGATTTGTCAAGCAAGACAGGCCTTTCCGAAAACCATGTTGTTCCCTGGAGAAAAGATTTTGCCCTTCAGCATAGTTTATAACAGCTATCCGAATGATTTTCTCCATCAGTTTTACAACTGCACTAGTTAAGCTAACGGGTCTATAGTTACTAACTAAATCCCTACCCCCAGCCTTATACACCGGACTTATTATGGCGTCTTTCCAGTCTCTAGGAAGTCTGGACTGTCTCAGAGACATGTCGAATAGTATCGCTAATGGTTCAGCAATTTCATCTGATATGGCTTTCATAATCCTAGGATGAATATCGTCAGGACCACTGGACTTATCAGGTTTGAGATGCTGGAGTAGCCTTAAAACAGTATCTTTCTCAATGACTACAGGATCCATCAGCGAGCCGTCACGGTCGCGACGAATCATTGGTCGTTCCTCATTACTGATAGAAAACACTTTACTAAAGTATTCCGATAAAGCTTCAGCTTTTTCGGCATCATTCTCTGCTAAGATTAACGGATTATCTCGTATTAAAAGTGATGGAATTCCATCACTTCTCTTAGTTCGCCTTTTTATATACGAGAATAACCGTTTCGGACTATATCTAGAATCCCTAACCAACTGTTTTTCGTATGATAGTCTAGTTTTACTTATTAACGCTTTACAGGCATTCCTAATCTTACAGTAACTGGATCTGTATTGTTCTAAGCCAGTAGAGATGAACATATCCCAGTGATTCTTCCTTTTTCTAAGGAGTTTCCTGACCGTTTTAGTTATCCATGGTGGACTATTATTCGGTCTTCGCGGTACCAGGTATGGTATGAACGGGGACGTAACTAGTCTAAATTTACCTTTAAATACAGACCATGCTTCTTCAACTGATATGCTAGTATCTACTAACCAATCTGTCTTAGCAGCACATTCCTGAATGGCTGATATGTTAGCTTTCCATACATTTGGGCGAGGTGTAACCTGATCGTATAACATGTCCCTAGTTCGAAACGTGAATGACAAAACAGCGTGATCGCTGTTCACTAACGGCGGGAGAATATTTAAGTCGACAATATCCTCAGTCTCATGAGTGATTACCAAATCCAACAGAGAAGAACCCTGGTTAACACTAAAACGTGTGGGTTGGGATACATGCTGTACTAGTGCATGCTCCATTATTGTCATCAGGAACTTACTATCAAAGGAGTTTATAGATCCTTCTGTGGTCATATCAGTCCAACTAATATCAGGTGCGTTAAAGTCTCCTATTATCAAACATCTGGTATTTTCACTCCAAAGATGAATGTGCTCTAAAACAAAGTCATCAGCTAGACAGATTGGGCTTCGATAGATGACACCTAGCATAAATGTACTACATCCTATAGCCAACTTACAGCTAATGACTTCACAAGTGCCGCTATCATGGGATTCGCTAGTATAGGAGCGGATATTTATGCTATTGGCTATGTATAACAGGACGCCGCCTCCTTTCCTACATCTATGTCTATCACTCCTGATGCAATGGTATCCGGATAATTCTGGAGTAATGTCTAAGTCATCGATTAACCAAGTTTCTGTCACTGCTACTATGAGTGGCTTTAACCTGTCCACTAGTGTTTCTAGTTCATAGAACTTATTTCGTAGACTACGAGCGTTGGCATATAAAACTCCTAAGTAGAACAGCCTATCCACACAGGCCTTGGTAGCATTCGCTTCCAAGACCTGACTATCCGAAAACCCACTAGCCGGAGATTTTCTTCGCCGTTTTGCCGACGGGTTTCAAGCTCAGCTAGTGCTTTCTTCCTTTTTATTCTATCTTTGAGGGATATGTCAGGTCTAACTCGGATGTCAGAATTGTCGTGACAACGAGCGCTACTTAACAAGAGATCCCGTTGCTTCTCCGATCCTAGGATTACCTTAAGGAGTCTGCATGGACGGGGTTCAACATTGTCCTCGGTCCTCTTGCCTATTCTTACCAACTTTTTAACCTGAACTCCTTTGGAGTTACCTGGTAAAATACTACGAATGTATTCTCCTACCTTTTCTAAGTCATGCGCGTGTCTAATTTTCGGATCAGGGTCATTTGACTCCCGCAATTTGCTCACAATAATATTCGATGTTATTAGATTTTTCTTCTCAGTCACGCCAGGATGGGTTTCACTCTTACCTTCAGATTTTGGTAGTGCAATTTGTGGCTCACAATTTGGGTCCACTAGGGAGTTACTAACTACCTGTGTACTGCTTACAGCTTTTTTCCTTTCGTTTCGTTTCCTACGTACCGTAGTCCATTTTTCATCCCTCATAACACTGGGACTATTTGGAATGGTGACTGTTTTATCCAGATCTACGGTTCCTACTAAAGGTGCATTATTAACAATGTCAGTACTAGGTGGTACTACCCCCCCTGTTAATATCAACGAAGATTTCACTTTTACGTCGGTCAGAGTCGGTTTTTTGAGGCGTCGCGTAACAACACTGACACATTCGTCACTGTCAGTGCCCGTGTTATCGGTGCATATGCCATCATTCTTCTTACAGGCCAAAGCCAATAGGCTCATAGCCTCCTGTATTAGCAATGCCTTGTTGGCACAGCAAAACATGCAAAGCCAATGTGAGTTAGGCTTCGAACATCTTTTATATGCAGTAGGACTTAAACGGGTGCACATTTTGTGGAACCATTTATTGCATTCGTCACACTGCATTCCCTCCTCCACAGGGAACAAACAGTTTGGTTGTCCACATTTGTGGGTACTACCAACCATTTTAGTCTGATTTAGGTGTAATACACAATATGATCACAGTATGAACCACAAGACAAACTCTAGCAAGATGTCAAACCTTAACTAAAGTACTTTGATACAGACCAAGAATGCTTTCGAATGTAATAAATACACAAAAGCCAAAAAAACTCAGTAAAAATATCACCTTAACTGGAGTAGATTCAATTAAAGTGTAAATCGTAGTTTTGATACGTAATTTACGACCAAAACAGTTTAAAAATTTAACGAGAAACAATACCACTGTCCTTTTTAGATAGCGCATTTCATCACCAGTGCATTTTTAAACCTTTTAAGATGAACTTACGATTAATAAATATTATTTTTAATAATATCATGACCTTTTGTCATGAATACTCTCCCGATATTCAGCCAAATTTGGCTCTCAAACCACTTTTAGTTGACTATTATATACCTTTTCATTAGGCATCTATACTTTTCTATATTCATCAACTGTTACACGATGCAATAACCGACACTTTTTGCTAACTAGTTTTTACTTACTTCACTTCATTCAGCTAGTTTAGTTCATGAGTCTCGACCAATCTTGCAAGATTGGATCACTTGCAAATTCTCAATCCCGAGGAATATAACTAGAGCAGTTCTAAAGTCTTCGCGGCTAGGGCGTCAACTAAACTGGTTATTTACAGTTAACTAGATCCAAGCACTTCGAATAATCGTATCGAGAAGCTGCATTTAAATGACCTGATTAGATCAATCTTAAGTACTAGAAATAGTTCTCTATTTAAAAATTCCGTGCCTATTTACCGGTCTGTGGTACTGAATAGTAAGTCTTTACAATACATCTACAAGGGCCACTAGACCTATTAGTTGGAATATACTTCCGAAATAAAAAAGGCGACTTAACCTCATCGATTAACCCGCCAATACCAAGGATCTGTAATATCCACCAACTACCTTCAGTGTCCAATATCGACATGACTGCCAGGTGTACACCAACTAATATTTTTGAAGTCGAGTCTCTGTGTTAATTTCTTCGTCTGTGTGTTCAGCAGCATCCAATGAAGGTAATTTCTTTACTTGGTTCTGCCTATCGTGGTGAATTCCACAGATAATTGGGGGTTGAAATTGTAGTGGGTAAAACGTGCCGCGCATTCTTAGCATCAACGAATTAGCTTAGCTCATATAATTCTCGAAATATTGACGGTATTCCAAGTATGTCTTCACATCTCTACATTAGTAACTTCTATTTTGGCTGCTGTATCGGTCAATAAATCCCCAAAACGGATAGTTCTGTAAGTGGTTAAATTCATTAGTCTATCTAAGCTAGTTCACCACTGAAAATCCGAAACCACTGGACGGCCATTTCGTCTTCGTATGAAACTCCCCACTTATGCGCATCCACGAGCCCGCATGAGATACTTCAACCTCTCGATATTCCCATTCTGATAATAACCATCATGCGATCACTAGTGAGTGGCTTCAGGATCGATCTCCTTGAGTTGTAATTTAAACTGTGACAGATGGATCCCAATTAGTGTTTGGTTGTGACAGGTGCTCATGTTAGACAACTGATGAATGGTCGCGCAAGATCATTTATCGATTGAAGTCAGACATTAACACCATTGGATGCGACTCAATGGTCTAGAGGTTGTGTTTGCGCGCGAGATCGAAGGTTCTGGCTTCCATTCCCGAGTGCAAGACCGTGGAGGAGGAGCCCTGTACAAGGGCGAAACATTCGTCAAGTGAATCCAGGTTTTCAATGATGCTCTGGCCTCGATCGACTGATGAATTTAACTTTTAACATTACTGCAATCTCCACAAATCTCTGTAAATCGTCGATATTGATGCTAATCTCAGTAATTTTACTGGACACCCTAGCTGAATGCGCTCGATTGTGCAGCTATACCAGATACCACCAAACACACTGCTACGCATCATTTGCAAATACTAGATGGCTTAGATCAAACGTTTCTCAACATATCGACAATTTTCCAAGTATATGTTCAAACTCCTTCATTTCTCTTCTGGCTTGACTGGGTTGGTATACAAAGGTATATATATATATATATATATTTAAATGTGTTGCGAGTGTAGGCACTACCTAAAATATTATTGAATTCTAATGGCTGCAGATAACATTCCTAGAACATCTAAGTTAACCCCCTTTGGACTCTACAAACGTTTTCGCATGCCTTCTGCTTTAAGGATCACTAAGATGATGATGTCAAAGGTATTCAGTGTTTGACAACGCTTCTACCAGTAACACCTAATATATTTCGTTCCCACCCAGAGAAATCAAAAGACAGAGTCGAGGAGATCGGAAGAGTGTATTTGGCGATAACCAATATATCGGAATTCTCTGATCTAATCTGGCTAGCGATTGGGGTTGATGTTGAGCACGGCGTTACCACACGTGATCTGGAGCAGATGTATGACCGAGCGCCTACAGCTAGATGAGTCCACTAAAACATATGGTCAGCATCCAATGTCGAAAACTTAGAGCTATTTATTTTGGGGATTTATTTACCGCTACAGATCACTCCCCCCTAGTGGGGCAGTGACGACCCTAAGACGTGGCCCGCCAGAAGTTTAAACCCAACCAGTTTGTCGTTGGTAAACACTCTTCTGATAGCTTACTAAGTGTAGCAGCGTCTGGTCGTCTTTCTTGACTATATGAGACCGAGGTACAATATAGTAAAAAAAGAGAGTTACAACGAAAATTTCGACTCCTCGTAAATGTACATTATTCTTCCTAAAACTCATGCTTTTTTTTCTACTGCAAGTAGACAGATAGCTCAATCTTATGGATGCTGATCTACTAAGGCCGATCATTCAAAGCTCAAAATTTGGCCACAAAGTCTTGTGAGTTTCTCAATGTTTTATTTTTCTCACCCTAAAATCTTTTTCTTTTTTTTTTCTACAATTTTATACCCTCTCATATCTTTTGATTTACTATTAATCCTTACTTCTTCAAAACATTAGTTATTTTCATGGCAGTGTGATATACTATATGGACATCTAACCCATAAAACAGAATTTTTAAATATCTGATTTGCTTGTAACATTGACCTAGTAGAGACAGTGTATTCCAACTATGTGCTTTGATTAAAGCATTAATCATACTTACCACAAACGTAAGAGAGCCTAACATCACAAAAGGAGGGAGGGTGGCGTTACTGACCAGCAAACATGAAGGTGGGGAGATAACTTCAATCCACCCATGTCTGTAGGGCAGAACATTTTGTTTAATTACGGCTCCTTATGGTTTAGTGGGATGTCACGGACTTATGGTATTGAAGCTGATTTATCACGCAAAATACCTCTTTAAATCGTGTTACGAACGTTGAATTGGTTTCACTTCCTACCTAGAAATCCTATTACAAGCAAACCAGACAATTCGCTAATATACGAAGCCTACTCAAGACCCTATAATACCTGACAAAAATAATAATACAAAAAACGAAAGGGGCTCTAATAGCTTCGATAATAAAAGGAAGATAGCCAGTTGTATATCACAATACTGTTTCTAGCACTATATTTTATTTTATAATCACACATAATCTTATACTCTCAGCTCTTTTCCGAATCGCCTCCATTTGTCAGTTGTATGTCCACTCACACCTTGCTAAAGCTTATTTTCTTTAACCTATTAAAGTGCTCTTTCTTAACAAATACCTTAATAAAAGAAAATTAGACTGAGTAATCATGCCTTAAACATTCCTACATGAATATTGGCTACTCTGCCTCTCGTGTTTTCTTTTACTTGCTCCCTCTTTCAGCCCCCTTGAGATATGGAACAGGTTACTTCATCCTGCACCATCCTTAAAGCCTTGGATATCCCAAAGGGACATGAGGTTGCGATTTCTAGAAGCTCATACCTTCAATGGACCTATTCTTGACCATCAGTCGCACATTCGCAACGCAACTCTCGTGAAGCGCGCCAACTGTAGTACTGATTAAAACAATCTACATTCATGTCTTAAAAATTTTCAACCCAGCTATGTAATTTAATACAGTGTATATTGTATCATTTGTATCAATTTGATCTTGCCTGTAAACTGGCATGCCTCATGTAACAAACTGTTATTTGAGAATAAATTATTATTATTATTAAACCGCATCGTTCTTTTCCAGTCGTCCTGGAAAAGAAAAAAGAAAGTGTAAGTTCATGTCGAAATACACTTGTATGTGCGTAAAAACACAATGTCGGCGAAAAAATGGAAAATATACTCAATCACACTTAATAGAGTTTAAAGAAATAATTTTTTTTTAATAAAAATATAAATATATAGGCATATTAAAATTGTCTTTTTTTTAAAAAAAATTATATATCGTTAAAAAGAAAGATCGAGATAATATAAAATGTCGAGTAGTGCCTTACGTGCAGTAGTCGTTTAAATGTTCTGGAAATCTTACTCTTCTTCCAGAACGCGTCGTTTTACGTTTATTTTCAGATACATTCGGAGTATCATCGCTAGTGTTGGTTGTCGGTTGAGGAACTATGAGTGTAGGAGTCGCGTTGTGCGATTGTACCGAAGGAAAGTCGACGTGAATGGGATTTCCTTCTAAATATGCTGCTTTTAAGCGATCGATGCTGATGCTATCGTTTGTTCCGTTCTTGTCGACTATATAGTACTTAGATTCACGTTGAAGAACTTTGAAGAGTCCTTCGTATGCTGATTCGAATGGTCGTCGATGCGAGTTTCGACGAACGAAAACGTGTGTACTATATCGTAAGTCAGGTTGAACGAAAACATTGGTTGATTGAGGTCGAGTGGAAGCAGGTTTAACTGAACGCATTGCGTTTGTAAGCCTGTTCGTGTAGGAGGTTAGATCCATGTTCATTGAAGAGGATGAAGGATCCACGAATTCTTCTGGAAGTCGAAGTGTCGTTCCATAAACGAGTTGAGCCGCAGTGTATCCAATGTCAGCTTTCACTGCATTGCGGATACTTAGTAAGACAAGTGGAAGAGCGTCGGTCCACTGTGAAACGTTTGCAGCTGATAGTGAAGCTTTTAGTTGTCGGTGAAAACGTTCTACCAACCCGTTTGCTTGTGGATGGTAGGCGGTCATTCGGAAGCGAGTGATTCCTAGGAGTGTGGTCAGACGACGGAAAAGTTCAGATTCAAACTGACGTCCGCGGTCTGTGGTGATGGTTGAAGGGCAACCGAAGTTTGCTACCCATCGTTCGACGAAGGTGCGGGCCACTGTTTCAGCAGTGATGTCCTTGATAGGTACTGCTTCTGGCCATCGAGTGAAACGGTCTACGCAGGTTAAGAGATAAGAGTATCCTTTGGAATCTGATAAAGGTCCTACCAAATCCAGATGAACATGGTCGAAACGAGCATCGGGAGTTTTAAACGAGCCTAAGGGACATTTATTGTGTCTGATAACCTTAGATTTTTGGCAGCTTACACAGGAGCGTGCCCACTCCCTCATGTCTTTATTCATTCCAGGCCAGCAAAACCGTTCTGCTATAAGCTTGATGGTTGCACGGACGCCTGGATGAGAAAGTTTGTGCAATGTGTTGAAGACATTGCGTCGATGATATTTCGGCACGATTGGGCGATCCCTACCTGTAGTTGTGTCACAAAGTAAGGTTTCCTTACCTGTTCCCATCTGTTTGATGCGTAGTTTAAGTGTTGTGGACGATAACTCGTGCTGAAGATCAGTGTCTTCTTTTCGAAGCTCGGCGAGTTTAAGAAGGTCGATTCTTTGGAAACTGTTCAAGGAAGTTATGCGAGATAAAGCGTCTGCAACTACATTGTTTGCTCCAGAGATATGTTGAATGTCTGAGGTAAACTGCGAAATGTAGTCCAGTTGTCGAGACTCACGGGGAGAGTACTTGTCAGAAGGAGAGCTTAACGAGAAAGTGAGCGGTTTATGGTCGGTGAAAAGAGTGAATTCAC